CTTAAAGTAATAGGATTCATTAGCTATGTTTAGGATTAAACTTATCCTAATAGGGCTATTTTTCTTCCGAGGGCATGCAGTAGGCCCGACCGGTGGTCAGTCAAAATGAAATCAATTATTATAAATTATACAGTTGGGGTTGATTATGTCATGCTTGCTAATTTGGGTAAATAAGGACCTTGAACAATAGAACCCATTTATTAATAACTATCTGTATCCCAACCTGTATCACCCTTTCTGTTACAGCTGCAGCATCATCTGTTACCCATGAAGTATGATATGCTCTACTGCTAGGCATGTATGCTAATTAAGCCCATAATTAATTGTAACAGTTATAGTTAAAGTCAAAATGCTGACAGCCTTTTTGGCCTATTATTCACGGTAATCAACTGATTCAAAAGGCAACGCAATCAACAATTCCTGCACTAGCCAGGGGATCATAATACAACGGCAGCACCCGCGACAGCTGGCACCCACAGGTCTTTGGATACAATAGGAAATACAAGCCTGGAGAAATGAAATGCTGCAGTGTGAACAGGACCTATTCTTCTTGTGAGACAAAATGCAAGCATAAGTCGTATTTAAGAACTGAGCCCTTAATGCAATGGTTAGCAAAAACGCACAAGGGCCACACTCCAGAGAGCATGCACTGCCTTGCCGGGTTAGCAGCAGCCCTGAGGGTTCAGTGACACCGTTTTGGGGTTCGTTGTTCCCCTTTTACCAGTCCCTTCGACCCCTACCTGCAGCAGCATGCTGGCTCTGAAGGAAGTGTCTCATGTTGCCAGAAGTCAGGGTGTCTCCAGAGTGTCTTCACTCTGAGCTCTTCCACAGGCCACCAACAGGGAAGAGGGCATAAAGGCAAAATATGTGGCCACTTTTAGCAACTGCACCTTGCAGATGAGGTGCAAGGCCAGATGAGCCCAGGGGACCTGTTGCATCCAGCAGATGCATGTCTCTGCTCACCATCCCCTCCTGCTTTCCTCTTCCTCGGTTTAGAGACAGTCTTGCTGTCTGGCACTGTGTGTGGCCTCAGATCACAGTCTCCTGAGTCTTCCTTTCTGTAGTCAAGCATGCTTATGGCCCATAGCACCACAAAGCCAACAAGTTTATACAGACGCTGCTTCAGATGTGCTGCTTCTATAACAAGGTTAGCCATAGTTTCATTACTAAGATTTACACTGTCGGTTACAGAGATGCCCATCCGATCCTATAACACAAAAATTTATGGCCGGCACAAAGAAATTTTTATTGTTGGAGCTCGTAGACGACGTGTGCCCTTAGTGACACATTTTTAAATAAAATATATCGTGCCAGTGATTTCTACTGCTTAAAATAAAATCAAATAATAACCAACTTTTAGCTGCAGTTTCCCCCTGGTTATTGAGCTGAACTCCATGTCTGGCTGAAAAGTATTTGTCAACACAACAGCTGGAGAGCAACGCTTTCTCGTAGCTTTATGTCACAGCATATGCCAGCCACTCAGAACATGATAATTCAACTGGAGCTGGTACTACAATAGCAGATGGGTTGAAGCATTGTTATTCTCACTCTAGCTCCCAGCCCTTGAGGGATCACTAAATAAAGTCAAAGCAGATGGACCATTACAAGCTCATTTGTGTTCACTACAAGCACCTCAACCTCCAGTTGTGTTATACTGCACCTTTGTATAAGATGACATGTATGGTAACATGACCTAATGAAAATAGCATCAGACTTGGCAAGTGAGGAATGAGACGGGGAACATGCACAGATCTATTTATCACTCGGTTCTTACCTGGAAAAAGGGCTCATTTTCCTGCTCCTTCCTCCCCGTTTACCATTTCCTTCCTCTCTCTGTTTATCCTTCCATTTCCGCACAGTTGCTATAAGAACTGAAGGAGGTGGCCATTGGTTCTGGCTGTAGAAGGTCTAGCACATTTCCTGTCCTCTGTGAACACAGGACGATCGCTACCAAGCCAGGTGCAAAATTCCTATTATTCACTCATTTCACACCCTGCTGACACGTGTGTTGATCCAGGTGTGACACTGAGACTATTAGCTGTGGGGATCAGGACTTCCATGCTCATTTCTTGGTCTGCTCTTATGATGGGGTCTTCCTCAAGTCAGCAGTTGTGAGCTTACGTGGTGCCTGACTAGTGCAGAAAAATCTAGTCCTCTGCTAAACTCCAAAATTTTGGGCTGTGCATCAGTCAGCATTCCTGACCAAACCTTGGGTGTCCTGGGGCTTGAGAGGTAATTGCTTCTAAGGAGTGAAGGATATTAAAACTACCAGTCATAAGGAGGGAGATCCCTTGGGGGTCTGCTGGCAAATTTCGTAATGAAAGATTCGTCATGCCATCGTCAGCGACCCAAAATCAAGTTGCATCTATTAGCGCCTCTTAAAAAGGCCTGTTTGGGAAATGGTAAATTCATTTTAATGTCTTCTGAGCACCGCATGCAACACTGAGCCAACGATGTCACCTGAAGGCTCTTGTCTTACAGGCCCTACCCTGGCTGCTGCACTCCGGGAAGCAACAGCAAGGAAAATTGCAGTATGGCAGGGCAAGATCCTGCTTCATTGTGCCTTTTCTGCAACCATCTGGGTGCACACACGCAAACCCAAATACAGTCAGTGACAATTCCCAAACTAAAGTCCTTTCAAATTTGAGTTTTTCATATCTGCTTGTATCTTTTTTTTTTTCTTTGTTCTGCCTGTTTTTAAACAACTTGTGCACACTGCTCCAGGGACAGGTGTATTCAGTGCTATATAACATATACTTAAAACTTATTAAAGGCTTTGGTATTTCTTTTTTTTTTTTTCCCATGTAGACAGGTGAAGTAGTAGCAGTCATTAAAGTGTTTGGGAAGACTGGATAAAAGATCGTCCATACAATCATTTTTTATTTAATTTTTTAATAAGAGTCTTATATCCCTATTCAAAGCTGCATAGGTCAACTTCATACTGCAGGATCCCATCATACCAGCTCTTGAGGGGTTTTAAAGACCCAGACAGGTGCAGCCATGGAAAGCCAAAGAAATTGCTTCATTACAGTTGATAAATGCAATTAAATTTCCATGACTGCAGTAAGAGATTTAAGAAAAAGAAAAAAAAAACTTGTCCAGCTTTCTCTGTGAAGTGGCCTTCTGCTCTACTGCTGAGTGTTTGAATTGTAAAAAAATAAAAAATAAATAAAAAATAAAATAAAATAATATAAAATAAAATAAAAGGCTCAGCTAGTATTTCTCACCTTAGACAGAAACTACTTAGGAGCCAGACAGTCTCAGGGACAATGTTCCCAGGTAGCAAGCTGCATGGACTTCCTGGCCACGTTTATGGCTGTCTTGTTAATTCTTTCCTGAGCACTTTCTGTGTGCAGCAACTCATCCTCAACTGTGAAGCTGCCAGACTCCAGCAGAAGCATTTGCAGGTCAGGTCAAATATCAGCACTGCAGCTTATCTGCTGGCCAGCTTTCCTATCAGCCAAACTAATTTGATAAGATAATTCTGTTTCCTGACATCTATTAAAATACATCAAGCACTGTAGCTTCACTGAAGTCTCTGCTAACTACAAAGCTGCCCTTGAAATTCTCAAACTGTATGCAAGGGGGTAGAGGGGCAACCCTTATTCTTCTAAGTATAAGAAAGTTTTAGATAAACAAGTTTAGATAAACAGCATTCTGGGTAATGCTGTAACTCCTCACTCCTGTGTTAATGGATTATTCTTGCCAGAATCAACTCAGACTGGGACAAAAAGAATAAATGCATCAATCATTCCTTTGAAAAATTTTCTGAATAATGTGATCTTGTACAGTGAAGCATATGTGTGGCTGAACACATGCACACATGGAACAGGCAGAAAGCACACTTTCAGGAAAGAGTGGGGTGAAATGGCAACCTGTTGTGGTTATTGAAGCAAGTAGTAAGGAAGTTTTGTATGAAAGGGTAACCCTTTGTCATGTAATGTTGAATGGGAAAAAAACATTGAAGACAGACACAAAATGAAGAAATGTGAAGTATCCCACAGCCTTCCTACTGAAGTGGCAAGAACTCTGAGGCAAAAAATTATTAAGAGCATTCTGCTTTTTCTTTTTGGCAGAACCAAAAACTGTGTACAGGGTAGTAATATTATAATTTATAAACTGAGAAGAAACACTAGTATTTACCCTCTTTGTGTTGGTTTGTTCAGCTTTGATACTAAATAATGCTGGATTTCTTTTTAAAAAGAAAAAAAATGTACTTCGGATGCTCATGGAATTTCAGAATTTCTGCTTTTTTTTGTTGTTGTTTGTTTGTTTGTTTTGTTTTGTTTTGTTTTGTTTCCTGCAGAACAACCTTGGTTCTGGAGTACCATCGCTCAGATAAAACTCCATCACACTGCACGGCATAGGGTCCCAAAGTGAGCCAACACCTCAGCAGCACCCTTGGGTTGATGCAGACAGTCATTTGGCAGACGGGTGTTTAAAAATAATTGCATATCCCCCCGCCCTATCTTTAAATATTCAGAGAAAAAGTCACAGGAGAACTGATAATGTGGCAATAATGATGAGGCTGAAGAACAGCATTGTAGTGTGAACTTGTATATCCCTTGGTTTCATTTACATGTTTAGCAGCTGCTTGTTTCTCCATCATAGAAAGTTCATTACTTGGCTTGTAAGAAGAGAGGGGAAGTCTGTTCACCTTTGGGCAACTAGCTCTGCATTTATTAATAGTTCTTACCCATCTCATTACACATTTAATTGCTGCATTATCATTTATTTATTCATTGATTTATTGTAATAGATGAGTAGAAAGAAAATTACCTTTGCAAATTACCTGGATAGGTGGGAAATCTGCATGGTTAAAAACAAAAAAAAAAACAGCGGGGCACGTGAGGTACTACCTAGCTGATAGCATCTTAATGCGTGAGCACTAGCATAGGAACTGGTCTCATTGGAAAGGGAAGCTGAATCTAACCAAGGTCAATGTTGTTGCAAAAGAAATGACTGTGGAACTTATATGCAATTTATACTTAAATTCCCAGGTGGCTCATTTCTTCATGAAACGGGGCGTGTGCTGAAAATGAGTGATAACTAGGATGGGAAAAGAAGTGGACTCAAAAAATGGAAACATAAATGTACGAAGTTTGCAAAGCATTTGGGTAAGTAGGGGATGATTGTCAGCGTACTTTTCACATTTACAAAAAGTCTATTTATGTAGCTGCTGCCTTCAGGTGTCCCTGGCTTTCACTGCCTTACCAGCAAGGGTGTTGGGGTGTCACAAAGTGCATTTCTGTGTCCTGTACTCTCGGTGAGATGCTGAGTGTCACTGTCCTCATGCACAGGGACAAGGAGTGCAGCGTGGGCAAGAGGCTCGGCGGAAAGTCCTGTTCTGAATGGGGTTGTATAAAGGCTGCCAAAGGAAGTGGAGGGCTACCAAAAGGTTCTGTTGTGAGTGCTATTTCATGGGAGACCTAGCTTGGGTTGGTGTTGAGTTAGGGTCATAACAATCCTGTCACTGGGATGCCAGTAGCAACTCTAGAGATCCCTGGAGAGTCCTGCAAGGCTTCGAGTGGTGCTAGAGTACACTGGGAGGCCCTTGGAGTCCTAGAAATGTCACTAGAGCACACTGGAGGCCAACATACTCTAGTGTCCCCTGTATGCCTTCCAGGGCCTCACAGTGATTTCTACCACTTCCAAATGCCTCCTAACCCCTCCCAGTTTGTTCTAGAATGTGCTCGAGATGTCCCAGGGACCTCAGGGCACTCAAGGAAGCACTAGAGACCTCTCCATGCACCCGAGTCTTCCTGGGCCTCTCAGCGTAATCTAATGTCCCGGGGAGACCTTACAGAGCTCTTTGTTGAGCTCTTGCACTCTCTTGAAACTTTCCAGGGCATTCTAGAGCCTTCCATGGTCCCCAGTGCCTTCTAGTATCCCCAGCAGGCTTTCCAGAACCCCCACCACATTCTAGAGAGCACTAGAGGCCTCCCAGTGCACCCCAGAGTCATCCAGGGCCTTCCAGTGGAGTCCAGCACACTCTAAATGACTCGCAGTGCCCCCGTGTGTGCTCTAAGTGCCTTCTGGAGATACCACAGGGCTCTCCAGTGCACTCTAAGACACACTAGACACCCCCTGGGGCCCCCGAAGAGCTCTAGCACCAGCTAGAGGCCTCACAGGGCTCTCCGCTCTTCTCTAGGGTGCTGTAAATGCCTCTCATTACACATGAGAGGCCTTCAGTGGCCTTCCGCTCCACTCTAGATCCTCTGAAGATCCACTGGGACCACCAAGTGCACTCTAGCTCTCCCCAAATACCTTCCAGTGCCTCCCAGTGTGTCCTTTAGGATGGCCTAGTATCTTCCCAGGCCTCCTGTGGTGCTCCAGTGATATCTAGAACCTTCTGAAGACCTCAGAGGGACTTGAACTGTCCTCTAGCACCACCTGAATGCCTAGCTGGACTCTCTATTGCTATCTACAGTACCCATTTGCTATCTACAGGCATCCCAGTATCCCCATTTTGCTCTAGTGACCCCCAGAGGCCTCCTAACACTCCTAGTGAGTTCCAGTGTTACCTGGATACCTCACAGGGCCTGCAAATGTGCACTATCACTTCACCAGTGCTTCCCAGGCATCCCCACAGGTGGCTCTAGGATGTCTGTTTGGCCTCTCAGGACCCTCCACAGCATTCTAGAGAGCACTAGAGGCCTCCCAGTGTGTCCTAGAGGCTTTGAGGGCCTCTCTGTAGTCTGGCACCTCCTGGAAGGCTCCCAGGGCATACTGGTGCTTTTTAATGCCCTTCTGAGACCTTGTAGTGCTCACCAATGTGCTTTAGCCTGACCTCGAAGCCTGCAAGACCCTGCCATGCCTTCAGATGGTACCAATTAGTGTGCTTTAGCATCCCCTAGAAGCCTCCCAGGGCTCTCTAGAGGCCGCCCAGAGCTCCCCAGTGCACTCTCAGGCACACTAGGGGCCTCAAAGTGCAGCCTAGACACCTCCCAGTGCTTTCCACTGAACTCTGGAGACCTAGAGGCCTCCCAGTGCACCCTACAAGGCCTCTCAGTGCACCCTAGAGGCCTTAGGACCATCCAGTGCATTCTAGGGTACCCTAGAAGCCTTCTCTTGCACCCTAGGGGCGTCCTAGGGACACACACTGTAAACTGGTGCCTCCTAGAGGCTTTGCCAGGCTCTCTAGTGTGCTCTAGAGCACGCTGAAGGTCTCCCTGGGCCATGCAGAGGCCTTGTAAGTCTCTCCAGTGTCCTCTAGGGTGCACTAAAGGCCTTTCAGTGCTCACTACACAGCTTCCATGAATTCACTCCGCTCTAGAGCCTATGCACGTCTACCAGGGCTGCCCAGTGCACTCTACCTTCCCCTGAAAGTTTTCCAGCACCTGCTACCACTTCAAAATGCCTCCCTTCTCCCTCCCTCACCCTCAGTTTGCTTTAGTATGCTGTAGGATACTCTAAAAGGCCTAACAGGGACCCCACCGCACTCTAAAGAGCACAAGAAGCCACCCAGTACACCTAGAGACTCCCAGCCCAGTATAATCTAGTGCCCCTGGGAGACTTTGCAGAGCTCTCTATTGAGCTCTAGCACCCCCTAGAAAAATTCCAGGGCATTCTAGAGGCCTCACACAGTCCCTAGGCCCCTCTAGGGCCTGCAGGCTTCCCAGCCCCTCCACTGCACTCTAGAGAGCACTAGAGGCCTCCCAGTGCACCCTAGAGTCTTCCAGGTCCCGTCCCCCCCCCTCCCCCCCAAGTGGAGTCTGGAACACCCTGAAAGTCCCCCATTCCCCCTGATGTGCACTAACATCGCCTGAAGACGTGGCAGGGCTCTCCAGTGCACTGTACTGCACGCTAGAGGTCTCCCAGGGTTCATGAGTAGGGAGTTTAGGGGCCAGAGAAGCAAACAGCTACTCCAGGAAAAGGTGCCAGAGGAGCCTGCAAACCCACCTGCAGTAATACAGCTCTCCAGCAGCCCAAGTGCTGAAGCTCCAGTAAATTCAGTTTCTTAGTGTTTTTAAAAATGATGGAGAACTGTGTTCTCTTCTATAAAATGTTCAAACTGGCACAGCTGGGCAACATGGAGTTGAGTGGATTCTCTAGATGTTCACATCAATTTTTATAAGCCCACTATTAATATTCTGCAGCATTCCTATTGCATTGTGACAGACTTCTCCATTAAGGATGACGAAAATTTTGGCTTAAATTCAGTGATTCATGAAGTGCTTACATGGTTTCATTTGGTAGACTATGAGCTGTTCTATAACCACATCCCATAAAACCAATCCATTTGGGTAGACTAAACTTGCAACTTTTTTAACTTTTTTTTTTTTTTTTTTTTTTTTTTTTTTTAAATCTCACAGAGAAGCAGCTAGTCATAAAATAAAATAAAATAAAAAAAAAAAACAACACACTTCCAGAGCTGTGACACAGAATTTAGGACTTTGTAGGATTTCTCTGCAATGATACAGTGTTGTAATGTTAGTAAAATTTCTTCAGATCTTTCAAAATCCCCTAACAATAGTTCTCCTGAAAAATCTAATTCATAACGATTAAATACCTAAACTCCAGATGCTGCTGGCAGGTGATGTTCATAGATTTCCACTGTCCTGTGATTTGTGTAATCATTTGCCCCAGTCAGTATACATGTAAAGTAAGAAAAGATCGAATTGGAGCACAACTCTACATGTACTCGGCCCTAGTTCAAAACAGTGGCAAATTGTGTCCCATGTAAGTCTCAGTCACTTCAACATGTGTGAATAGAAATGCATAAAGCCAACGAACGAGGACATCCTATTTCTCTCTGAAACTGTAGTTCAACAGGTGTAGCACGTGTTAGAAACTGCTGCTTCTCAAGAGCCATTCTGATTATCTCCAGCTGCAAAAAGGAAAGGGTATGCCTAAATCACAATTTACTTAAGAATTTTCTGATCTTCCAAAACAGAGAGGAATTTGCAAAATGATTGCGTTGTAATCAATTGTTATTGAGAACCTGTGTTTAAGAATTGACTTTTCCAAAAGTGATCCACAGGTTAAGCCCAACTCCTACTAGAAGCCCCCTAAATAAAAGCCCCACCTGAAAGACTGCCACCTCATTTCAGCTGGATACCATTTTAATTTATTTTTTTCAGAAGAAGAAAAAAACATTCTTTCCACTGATACTTCCATGGTTTGAAAGAACATTTCTTCACAAGAATGTTTCCTTTAATACCTTGTAAAAAGGCAATTTTCTCAGAAGGAAGCTTTTCTGTATTCTTTATCCTTGGGGAGACATAATAATTGGCAAGACTTGGCAGAATTAGTGATATTATTGAACTTGTAATTGTCTAATGTCTACATTTTCTAGATGGAAAGTCAATACAATATGATGTCCCCCAAGCCAAATTAATATAATGTTAAATGCAGGTATAGAAAACCATAGTGTATTGGTGTGCGGACCACGTTTAACATGACATTTTTGGATTGTATTTAATATTTTCTTTTGTAATATCAACTTATTTTGATAGTAGTGCTCATTACAGAATGGTGTATGGGGCTGGGCTACTCACGCATTGTTTTATTCCCATGAATGTTGTACAGTTCTGCATATAATGTACTCTCCATGACAGTTTCTGTATCATCTGCTGTACAGCCCTTGCACAATGGACTGTAATGTACTATAAATGCTTTTATATATATATATATGTGTATATATATATATAGTATAGGGTGCATCGTAGCAGATTTTCAAAACCAGTTAGTCCGAAATCCGCTCTCTTTGAAATCAAGAAGTATGCTTTCTTATGGGTCTCTGTGATTCTGGGTTTGGAAGACAAATTTGTAGGCTTTTATAAAATGCAGCAAATGAAACCCACGTTGTGCTTTATATAATTTTCCTACTACCATCAGAAAGAAAGGCTTCTACAGGCTGTGTGGACCATCTGTTACATACAAAATGCACTCTGGGCTAAAAAATCACCATCTTGCCTTTACCTGCATAATACTTTCCTTGTGGCTGCTATGCACTATTTTTCTTTTATGCAATATACTATAACATCTTGCAGTAATCAGAACAATTAATTTTCTCAGATATCGTGGCCACCCATCCAAAGCGATAACTTCTGACATGCCATAATGGGTGTTATGTATGCTCGGTGTCAACAGTTGCCTCGATATGCTGATAATGAGCCATACTTTTGAAGAGTCATAATCAATCATTCTTCATTTAGAAAGTCAGATCCATCAGCCTGACATCAAAATGTCATAACCCATTGATCTCACATTGCGATCATGGATTCTAGACTTTAATTAGTGGCTTTCAGCATGTGTTCCAGACCCCTCAACAGCTTCGTTGTCCTTCTTTGGACATGCTCTAGCACCTAGATGTCCTTGTAGTGAGGGGCCCAAAACTGAACACACTATTTGTGGTGTGGCCTCACCAGAGTAAGTACAGGGGGACAATCACTTCCCTAGTCCTGCTGTTCACACTGTTTCTTACACAAGCCAGGATGCTGTTGTCATTGTTGACTGCCTGAGCACACTGCTGGCTCATATTCAGCCAGCCCCCAGGTATTAGTTGAACCCAAAGTTCCGCTGGTGACACCAGGCTCGGAGTCAGGTACTCATTTGGTGGCTCTTCTGTTCCTTGCCTCATCTATCCCTGCAACTGGAGTGATAGAAGAAAACACCACCTGTGCTCCTGACCCCTTAACTTGTTGCCCCAAGGCCCTTAAGTCTCTTTTGATTGTCCTCAGACTTCATCTTGAAATTTCATCACTGCTACTTGAAAAAACAGTAATGGGTAATATTCTGATGGCCGAAACAAGGTTGGAAGGGCTCTTAATGTTCCTAATCCAGTCCCCATGGAGGTAGCAGACCTCCCCGTGAAGTGGGTCCCTCTGCATATTGGGCCTTCTGTTCCCTTCAGAAGGGAGTCTCCCACAAGAACTCGTCTTTTTTTCTTGATGTGAGCTGTGTTAATTCAGGACGCAGGCTGATATGCCCTTCCCTGGGCGTCACTTCTAAGATGTACTGTGTTGCTCAGTATTGTTCAGATCAACCTGCAAAGCTTCGTACCTATTGCATTGGGGTACCTGGGAAGGTTGCAAAGTCCCTGAGGGGTTTTCCCTGCTAGGCATGGTTTTGTTGCCAGTGCCCCTTATCCTCTAGGTCAGTGCTTTCAGTCGGGTGCTGAGGATAGGGAAACGCTCAGAACTGAGCGTCCCTGCTGCCTGCTGGGCCTGTCTCAGGGACGGAAGGCAGCAGCTCCAGGAGCCTCTCTCCCTGTCCGACTCCCACATTCAGCCTATTCACCTTCCCCCGCAGCCCTGGCCTCCTGGAGCACTGCCTCCACCGGGCACACCTCACACGGTGGGCTCACTCCGGCCGTCCTGAACTGTCCTACGAGCGGGGCACAGCCTGCGGCCAGACACCTGGGAGGCAGCGGGCTGCCCCCGGAGCTCGCCGTGGGAGGCTGCACCCCTTGGGGGCTGCCGAGCTCCCTGACAGGTCTGCCGGGCCCTCCCTGGCTGACACTGCCTCAGTACGAGGCAGAGCGGCCGCCCCTGGCCCTGCCCAGGGCCGTCCTGGCCCTTGGGGGTGCCCCGAGGCGGGACCCTCCGGGGCGCGACCCCCGGCTCCCTGCAGCGCCCGGCCCGGCGCGAATTGCCTCAGGGACTGACCGAAGAAGTAACCGTGACCAGACAGAGGGGAGAGGGCGGTGCATGAGGGATGAGCGACATTTGCATACATACCCTGTGTGACCGCGGGCACCGGGATTGGAACATGCCCAGCCCTGCTGCTGGGGGGGATTTTAGTCCCTGCGGTAGGATTAGGGAACATACATACATTGTCTTGCTGGGGACAGAGTGGATTTTGAGGACAGAGATGATTTTTTTATGATGTGTATTGGAGTGTCTTCTGTCACGCAACATTTTACATAAAAACTGTTTCAGTAACTAGAAGTCACCACTTCTGAGGTTAAAGGGCATAGTACTGATTATCACTTTAAACTTTACATAATTTCAGCAACAAACTTAAAATAAAATCATTCAAAAAAAAAGAAGAGTAACATCAGAACACAGTATGTCAATCCCTGATTTTAATTTAATGTCTAATTTTCATTTAATGAAAGCCATTATTTTCAATAAAATCAAACACATCCCCAGTGAAGGGTTTCATGTTTGTTAAGCAGCCTTTTCCAAACAGGAAAGTACCCAAGTAAAAAAATGTTGGCCTTGTCAAATAAACACAAATGATCTGGGATAGGCAAACAATAGCTTGCCAGGTCCCACAAGTCCCCTCTTGCCAGCCCGCTCCCTGCAAGACTCCCCCTCGAAGCAACAAGTTTGTGGACTCGGGCCCTTATTTGGATCAGTGCTCATCCCTTCAGGCAGAGCTAATTGGCTAACTCAATCACATTGGCTAGTTAATTAATAAGGAAGACCAAAATTCCACACGAGATGATGAAAGGATGAAGAGCCCAGGAATGACCCTTGATAATAATAAAAGATAATTACAACCAAGCATTGCATTATTCAGACTTTGCTATTGACGTGATAAGCACTGCCATATGCCATGCAAGCTGTGATGTGCACCCTAGTCATCCTAGGTATAACAAAAGACCTTAGGTATAACTGCTTGCTGTATTTCAATGCAAACGTGGTGTTTCCTGTGAAGAACAAAACA